GTGGAATGCGATTGCGACGCAAATATTCGTGGCGATAATAAAGACTGAAACATAAATCGAGAATCGAAAGGAAGAGTGACAGAAGCATAAACGCTAGCAAAAAGACAATCAATTCTCTTCCTCCGATTTGAATAAGCTTTGAACATGTTAAAATATAGACAAAAAAATAAGAGATGTGATTTTTTTATAAATGCTGAGTCGTACTTTAAGAGGGGTGAAACTCTTCTTTAAAAAAAAATCAGTTTTTTTTTCTTTCAGAATAAATATCGACTAACCATGAAAGATATAGAAGGATATTTTGAATAAAAGTTGAATAATTTTAAAAAGTACTTTAATAATAATGATTAAAATCTTTAATTTTTTATAAATAAAAATATTTTTTTATCATCATTATAAATATATACTCTTGAAACTAATCAACTTAATTTTTTTCAAGGGAGGATTCTCTTAACATGCGACTCAGAGTACTTACAAAAATATTTTTTACTTTTTTTTATATTTTTTTATATATCCAAAGCTTTTTAAAATCGAAGGGGAACAGGCAGTTGAATCTTATGAAGCATAAATTGGAACAGCAAACGTAAAAGAAGTGTTTTTAAAAAATAACGCCCCTTTATCGCTTTTCAATTTTTATGCTTCCTAGAGCTTCCGTTTACACTTCTGTTACTCTGCCTTTACATTCGACTTACGTTCCGATTTTTATTTTCGCCAGGAAAATTTCGCACTATTAAAATGATACTGGAAGAATATTTGTGAAAAATTAAAAATGCATTCAAATTATGACGTGTAACCGAATAAACAGTGCTCATTTAAACAGTTTTAAAGCTTTTTCGTGCTCGTCGAAAAGTGTATATTATAAAAATAATAAAATTATAAAATTGTTTGTTTGTCAGAAATTGAAGTTTTTCGATAAATTTGTGGGAGAATTTTTCGAAACACACAATTCATTGCGTATGCAGATTACTTTACGTGGTTGTATCAACTTTGCACCGTGTAAAAAGAATAAATTACCATCGCATTTAATCTTAAAGTGAATTAAATACTACTTCGTTTATTAAAAAAAAAAAATATATCAAAAATATAAATTATTCACCCTTTTATTTTTTTTTATACATAAATCATATTGCGTTTAATTCTTAAGTAAAGCACGAATTAAATATACATTGCTAGAACGATAGTAATATATTTCACTGAGTTAAATTTTGTCATTTTTAACTTTCATGTGCGTCAAAATGTAAATCATTTCTGTGGCTAGTTTCGAAGTAAACACTATCTATATTAACGTATGCATTTAGTAAATATAATAAACTAAATTTGATTCAAATTTAATATAATTTCATGTTGTTTAACTCCATCGTTTTAGTTAAATTAACGACATATTGAATATGGAACAATGACAACCTATAGAAATGGTTAAAAATAACTCAAATTGAGTGTAATTTAACAATATGAATTTAATAGTGTAACTGCGCCGTAGAATAACGCAATGTTGTAAAGTAAGCATTTGCAATTTAAATGAGAATTAGCGAAAAGTAATGAATACCTCATGTAGAATTTTCTCTGTAAATTACCGCGAGTATCAAATAACAACGCGAAGAAAATATCCAACAAGAGATAATTATGACAAAAGATAATTATGACGCGAAAATAGAGAAGCGAGTTATTAAATCGCAATTTCTCTATTCTTATTGTTATCTTTGTTGTCCTTTCGTTGCAAATCCCGGAGCTTTTAAATCTTAACTATTCATGAGAAATGCGTACTTCACTAAATTTGCTAAGAATTTTATTTGATCCTTCGAGATTTTCCGGAGCTTTAAGAACACTTCGACGCGCATGACTTTTGAACACGGGGCAAAGAAAGATATTCCTCCACGAGTAAACTTGCTCGCTGTTATGAGAGAACTTCTGGAATTCGATCTCTAAAGTTTTGGAACGGCTCGTGAAGTTCTCTCTCGCTATCGATGTCACAAGGTCGTTTATCAAACAATTCGTGAGTGCGAGGAAGCAAAAGACGTAAGACGGGAGGAAACGAAGGAAGCTGCAAGCAATCACGATATCACGTAACAATTCATCTTCTTTCGCAAATACATGTAAAATTCTAAAAATGAGCAAGGATATTCATCATATCTCTTACCGATTTCATAAGGTTCACTGCGAAATAAATGCAAAAAGGAGATAATTGAGCCTCTTAGAAGTCAAATCGATTGACTCTCATGAGTTTTTTAATTTTAGTATCAAAGAACAAAATTAACTTGTAATTTTTTTAATTTTCTATATTTTTTCCACGGAATTGATCAATTTGGCTTCTGAAAGGATAAATTAAAACTCCCTCAAATATGAAAGTTTCGGGCAAAGAAAATATCAGATTTATCATCAATGTCAGTACTGCGCACATTAATTAACGATCGAAGATTAATTTTGACAAATAAATCGTTGGAAACAGAGCGTTGATTCCGTTTTCGTTTACCAGGTTGCTCAATATTCTATCTCAAAGGTTATGGTCCATCTGATACCTACAAATGCTTTAAAATATTCTGTAATTGATCAGTTAGTAAAACTCTCTTTTCTGATTTATTAGTCAAATTCATAGTTAAGTAAATTATCTAAATCAAAAAGGTACATAGCTAGTTGTAATGTCTTCACCTTCTCGGTTTACATACAATAAATAAAAAGACATTAAATATCTTATGTAACATCATTAATGAATAAATACATCGTCTCTTTGTTTATCTCCTTCGTGATGTTTGTACATTTGAGACAATAGGAGAATAATTACGTCGAACTTTCTCTTACCTGGCCGCCTTGCCAGCCGCCCTCTCCAGCTACAGGGAAGATGCCACCGATGTGTAGGACGTTCTCCTCCTCGTCTTCGGGTGGTAGCAACGCCTCGGTCCAGAGCGCTGCCATTAAAATCACAATTAAGCCCAGCAACATTGCGCATTGCCGAGGAAGGCCGCTCGCCATTCCGCCAGCAGCGTCTTGCCTTCACGCGCGCTCGCTAAAATCGTACGTTTCTCTCTCCCTCTCCCTCTCTTTCTCTTTAGCTCTCTTCTACGACATACCGGGTGTAGTGGGACACGTAGTGGCAAAATCGGTGGTGTGCAATGTCGTCGAGAAAGCGCTCACTGCCATCGTCCTCGCCCGATCGACCTCGTCGCCAGACTAATCGAACTCTCTCTCTCTCTTTCTCTCTCTCTCTCTCTCACACTCTCTCACTCTCTCACTCACTCATTCACTCTCTCTCTCCCTCTCTTTCTCTTTCACCCTCTTCACGACGCTGCTGCGTACTCGTTCGATCGCCCGCGAATCTCTTCGCGCGAATGTCACTCTCCTCTTCGTCCTTCGTTCACCCCGACACCTTTCGCCTCTTTTTCCTTTTTCACCACGATCGATTAAAATCAATCATTCCGACGAACAGTTCCTTCTCCCGAAACTTCTGCTTCTTATTTAATTTTTTACGAGTTCGTTTCCTGCAGGGGATGTTTTTGTCCACGATCCTCTGCACGTCGGGAGTTGGGAACTGATCAAGTTCTCGAATTGGAATACTCGCCGACACTCCGTTCCGCTTGGGTTACTCGTCGCGCGCGGGTCTCGCGTGCGAATGGCAGGCGAGGGTGGCCACCCCCTGGAGATATATCGGGACCGAGCCCGATTCGATACCCATCCGCGTCGGACAGGCGCGTGAGGGAGAGCGATTCGCGGTCACCTCACGGCTGGAGGAACAGAGGTGGAACGGAGGGACGAATTGGGAACAGTTCACGTCGCTCGTATTTCCGCCGCGTCGCGCCACGCCGGTCTCGCGCAAGGGCATATTCTGGCTCTGCTTTCACATGACCGGGAATTTTGCGTAGTTGCGGAGAGATTCAGCGGTGAGCGCGCTTCGCGGGCGTATTCATATCGATTCTCAACCCTCTAGCTAGAGGGTCAACAGGGAGTCGAATGGGGTAGGATTTGATGAAACAGCAGGTAGAAGGGTAAGAGGGCTCGAGAGGGTGAGGAAAGATGGCTCCATGAAAATGGCGCTCGCCTTCATCATTCATGTGAATCAATATGGCGCGGGTGATTTGAGTCACAATTATGTGGTATACATAATTCTTATTTCTATCGATATAGATTAGCTTTAATCTAAGGTTTAAACAATAAGATTGAAAACAAGTTAATGCATTATTTTAAATACTAAGCGCCACTATAGTCTGAATGTTAAGATGTTGAATTATTATATTCATTTAAATAAATTAATTTCAGAAATGATAAGGTTCAACTTATTCTTTATCTTTTTTTAATTTTAAGAATTAAAACTAAAAAAAGATAAGAACATTATAACTACGGTGATATACGTCTTTTATTGTAAAAGACAGTCTTTTATTTTAGATAGCTGTCCGTTAGATTTATTTCTGTCTTCGAAACTCAATTTAAATTTGTCCTTTATTTTCCAATATTATCCTTTACTGTCTTTTATTTTGATATTACAGAAAATTTTTTTTGTCTAATTAGTTTCAATGTCTACTTTTTAAGTAGACATATTAAGTAGATATAGATGAATATTTTATAGTTTCATGCATATAAATACAATTTGTTTTTAATTATATTTCTTAAATATATTATAATTTTTTAAATATATTCGAACTTAGAGTTGTTTTCATTCTTTTATTATTTCAGATCAAAAGTTTTATTCCAATACAGTCGAACCAGTTTCAAACTATCAGAAAACTGCGTATTATCTCAATTTGATTATACTGTGCCGTGTAAAATTTTATAATGCACAGATTCTTGACAATCATAAACTGGTTTGAAAATTTTTTGTAGTCAATGAAATAGTATCCTAACTCCATATATTGTAGGTGATAGATGACACATTACAATAAGTAAAGTATATACGTTCCTGAAATATAACAGCACATGTACATATACATATATGATATATGTATCGTTTGCTCTACGCATGCGCAAGATTTGTCCTCTTCCTTTCTAGTTTCTATCCGCAATTCTTTTCACTCCGTTGTAAGAAATTCGCTTGTCACTTTTTTTTGTGTCTGCGTGCCGTGGTCCTTCTTGTTATCATTGACAGTGTTGCACATGTTATTCCCTTTTAGTGTGACACAATGGCCACACAACGTGCACTTCCTCAGAGTAAAGAAGCGTTATTGAAATCATACACGACGAGGTTAAAAGACGACGTGAAGTCCATGCTGGAAAATTTCGAAGGTACTTTTCTAACCTCTGTCTAAGTATCCTAACCTATTTTCGTAGGCATCTTCGCCTCTACAATTACATCAAATAGTTAATTTGAAAATATAACAAGAATTGTAGTATCTAAGCGTTATATAATCTCAAAAAGAGACTGAAGGCAGAAAAGGCCATTAACCGGTGGAAGTAACTTCAAAACTCCTCCGGCGTTTTCGTCCCCAATAATTAACTTTGTTCTTTGTAATTGAATTTTTTAGATTTTTAGTTAAATTTTCTTTCTTTCTTCTCTTTTCCTTCGGTTAATTATATATACTTTAACTGTATATACTTTAACTTAATTATATATACTTTAACTGCAGAAAATATAATATAGTGCAGCTACAAGAAATTTATTGCACTTTGATATGATTGTGATGCTCCAATTATTTGAATTTTTATCTTCTTCAATACAAGTATCACAACTTATTTAATTCATTATCTTGAGATTTGTTTCTATTTCTTTGCAGTACAATATTTTCTCGGAATATATATTCATTCATTATCTCTTATGTTGGATAGAAAGAATGAATCGAGATGTTTTCAACAAACTGACAAAGTTAATTCTATAATTTTAAGTATAATTTCTCAAAACATATCTAGAAGTTTATATATGAATTTAAAGGACTCTTCATTTTTGTGATTGTCAATCAATAAATTATCATTGTAGTAGAATAGAAAGATTGAAATTCTAAAAACATAAAATATAACATGAAAATATAAAACAAAAATGTTATTAGTATTAAAAATGTAATATAGAAAAATGTGAAAACCAATTTTTTTTTAATTATTAACACTGAAATTATTTTTATATCAAATTATATCATATAATAAAATTAAAAGAAATAAAAATTTATACTGCAGTAATATTAGAATATTAGTATAGTAGCGTTTAGTAATATTTAATACTTCATATAAGTATAATTTTTAATTCTATTTATATATATAAAATTTGGGAGGAGAAAGATTTATATATCAAATAACTTGATTTGTATTATTTTTTATTAATTGTTAATATCTATCTTAATTCTGATTTATTTTTGTTGTTTTCAGAGATAATTAAACTCGCAAAAGGAGAAAATGATTCTCAACTATCTCGAATGACACAATGCGAGCAAGATACATATGAAATGCATGTTAGAGCAGCTAATATTGTGCGTGCTGGCGAATCATTAATGAAATTAGTCTCTGATATAAAACAATATTTAATTCTGAATGATTTTCCATCTGTAAATGACGCCATAATACAAAACGGCAAATTATTTAGGACTAAGCAAGTAGAATGTGATCAAAAATTGGCTTCCCTGAGGGATGATATGGCTGCGGATTTATACGATCTGGAAGAGGAATATTATACTTCCATATACAAATAACACTAGTTTAAGTTTAAGCTTAATTTAATGCTAGTCCTGTAATATATTTGAGACTGTTTTCTAAACCCGAATCACAAAATATGACTCATTCATTCAACTTGTACATTGTCCATTTATTTAAATAAATAGAATTAATTTTTTATAACGTTTTACTGTTTTCTTTTAATCTTATGGAGATTTATAGATGATGAGAGTCCTGAATAAGAAATAAGGAGTAATTGTCTCTTTTATTACTTCGATATTTAACACATAGACGATACATCACACAATACTTTTACATATTTAAGAAGGTAATAATATAAATCCAAGCTTCAGTTATTAATAGTCATCTCACAATCGTTTCCACTTATTGTTGTTTACTTGAAACGTGGTATTTCGTGATTCTGTACAACGGTAATTTACAAAACTGTTACACAGCTCTCCTGTATTGGAGTAAGGAGATTACAATTATGATTAATTAATGACAAATTAAAAAAAGATCTATACGTATACAGTTTCAATTTGGAATGTTGCACAAACGTAATCTGACTTGCTTTTTGCAATGTTCGTGTATTGTAGCAACAAGATACAAAGAGTATCAACAACTTGCTGGGTCTGACGAATAATTGGAAATTATGTTTTATACTAGAAAAGATTAACAAAAATATCACAGTGTAAGACACAACGCTGTGACACAAGAACGAGTCTTTCAAACAACAGTACATCATAAACTATTCGGTGAACTGGTACAGCATCTAAATAAAGTAAATATATTTGAATTCTAACAAAACACGGCAGCAGTTTACTTTTAATGCACCTTCATAATAAATTATCTTTTTATCGCGTTCTCTTGCTTGAATCAGTCCACTGTCCAAGTCATAAAATCATATTAACTACATATCGTTACAATCATACATTATTAAATACCTACACCTACACGATATTCAAAACAATATTTTCAATTATCCATGATAATGCATCCGAAATGTGCTTCATAGATAATAGAAGAAATTAACACAAAAGAAAAAAAAGGACAAAAGTAATACAAGAAAGTTGATCTTAAAATAATGTAATTTCTTTTCTCGAACTTTCGTGACTCGATTTACTTATCTTGGATGGCTCTTCTAGACCCACAATAATTTAGTATTTACAAAATTCAATTTCCTTAAAATTAATAATTAACATTAAACCGCCATTTTCATTTACGCAACTTCTATGCTGAAAAGCTATTAGTTTCATGTATTATAATCCTTGAAAAATAATTGCAAACTCAATATGAAAAGACACGCTGTAATGGCTTATTTTCGCATTTGCAAGGCATAGTATGATCTGCCATACATTCGGTACAAATGACGATGTGCTTTGAAATTTACAATTCTTACAGTTTTGTCGAACTGGAACACTTATTGTACATATACATTATTAAATATACTAAGTAGACTTACGTTCTACTTTGGCAAAAACGTTTACAAATCTAAACTCGAGTTGTTTTTTTTTTCCTGAACATTTTCCCCCTCCAATTAAATCTCAAAGACATTCAACCGTTTACCTTTTTTTCTATCAAAAAAAAAACTCGCATAAAAGTCTGGCCTTTTACTGGCAGCTTGAACACTCACAGCTTAGCATTAAAGTAATCTCAAAAAGGTTACAAAAACTTGATTCTCTCGATTTATTTTCTATCTTATAAAGTATGCCAGAAAGATGATATGCTCTTTTTATTTTGTTTTTTTTTTAGCAATAGAGTATCAGTCGCTGAGCTCTTCCTTTCAAGTGCTATTATAAAAAAAGCAGCACTATGTAGCGTATCTTGGCAGTTTCGATAATTCATTGTGTAAGAAAAGTTCGCTGATTTGACTGCATAGCGTAACAATACAAAGTAAATGCATATACTTGGAATGATACTGTTAGTTTTTACTTAATCATCTAAATAAACTTTGCTTGTAATACTTGGTACGTTCATGAGCGGAGATTGCGCTTTTGATTTCTTTTTATAATTAAAAAAAGTTTTCTTAATTTAATGTGCATTTGACAATAACTTATCTGTAGTCCAACATACCGTCCGGTCATGAACGCGAATGTCTAAATCTGTTTTCTATGAAAAATTCGCTTTATATACTTATGTGAGCATTTGTCGTAAATCTTTTTTTATTAAAGTTTATTATAATATATTGATTCTTTTGCATTTGTGTAGTTTTTTTGCGATCTTCTTGCCGCTAGGAAAAAAAGGAATACTTAATATTAGCCTTATAAGTTTCATTCTTGTTTCGTTCGTTCGTTCTATTACTGCGGAGGGACGTTGAGCTTGTGAATGATAAAAACATCATTCTGCATTTCTTTTCAATAAAGAAGATCGCCGGTCGTCTCCGAGCCCCAAGCACCTGCGTCCTGAGCTGGTCTCAAGTATTCCATTTCGCTTGCATTCTCGGTTTGCTCGGTTGTTGTCGTTGTTGCAGCTGGGGTCGGAACCATCAGTATAGCTCTGGTGATACCCAACTCGAAGCCTTCCGACGTCAGATCCACTTTGCTAGGAGTGTAACTGGCTAGTCCACCTCCACCTACAGATAATAAGTGTCAAGTAGCACGGATTTACTTTGCTTCTTTCTTTTCTATCTCCTTAAGATATGTTTATCAATTAAGTAATAAGATTATAAGGTAAAACCTTTTCTAGGATTATCAATGATATCTCTAGAGTATTTTATGATATAATAATTTCTGTTAATTACTTGATTACATTATCATATTATAATTGCAAAAATGTCTTGTCAAACTACAAACGGGACTCAAGTTTGATCTTACCGAGAAGAGATGGCATATTCGTTGTTGAGCTAGGTGTCGAAGAGATTTTGTTATTACTCAGTGTAGAAGGTTGCTCGATTACGGAACTAGAAGTTTCGCCGTCCACGTTGCTGGTCTCGCCTTCAAGAATCGACGCTTCGCTGGGATACTCGAAGGTACGTGTGGCGGTGTCGTCGAACTGTATTCGATGCTGAAATCACAACGGTTTAATTAATGAGCCGTTGTAAACGAGTATAATATGAAACGATTTGCGAATGATAATCGTTTGAAAATATCACGAATTCGCGGCGATAAATTAATTTATATGTACGCGCGCAGGGCATGAAGAATCGCTGCCGGGTGTATGCAGATTGCAGAGGGTATTCGCATATGTAAACACGTATTATGTAGCCAACGCGGCGATTTATGTTCGCCTTTTGCGCCTTCAACAGAACAGTTACATGTGGAAAAATTTTGCGAGGCGCGCATCGTGTAATAAGCATCGCCGTGCGCTCGCGCGGGTACAAATGAGATACGGGGAGAACAACAACGGCAACCGCATAATGTGGCCTCGAATAACAGTATCTGGTCACACTCGATGCTTTTTCGACCTGCGAACGGCAAGTGGGGACGATCGCCCATCCGCCCATTCCTCGTCATCGTCGTCGCCGTCGTCATCATAATTGTCGTCTTTGTTCGTCGCAATGTAAAGCTTCAAGGGAGAAAGCACTATTGTGTCTTTTGTTCATGATTAAACGACTTAGGTCTATTCTTTTTTGCACAGTTTTCTTTTTGCTGTTGAAGACAAAAATAGAAAACTGTGCAAGAAGTTTAGCAAAAAGAATAGACATATTATATAAGTTCAGAAGATATGATACTTGTTTTTAGTTTAGCTAAATATATCTTATTCTCGTGAATGTAAAAATATCCACTTCTTTTATGGTAAAACATGTGTAGAAAACTTGAAATTGGATTTTATGCAAAAATATACATACAACAATTTACATACAACAATTTTAATGCATCTCCATCGAAAGTTTCTTTTGTTTCAAAATAATATAATAAAATAATTTTTTGTTATTTTTTAACATGTTCTATCCTGCCAATTTTAGGTAATCCACGAAATATTTGCTTATATTTATTAATTAAAATATATTTCATAATATATTTCAATAATTAAAAATTGTAAAAATTATTATAAAAAAATAATTATCATAAACAAAGCCTAATATATCAAATGCAAATATGCGTGAATACACATTATAATTATGTATTCTTGCATATCAGAAATTATTTTATAATTATGTTCGTTCATTGTCAAAACTGGAACATTAACATACTGGAAAAAATGGCAAATGGAAAGTGGATCACCGACACAGAACAGCAAGTGTTACATAATAAATTATATAATATTATACCTTTCTGTGTGTTAAAAAAAATAATATAATAATATAAAAAAGTTATACATTTTTCATAAAATTTTTAGAAATCATTTTTTAACTTCTTAAATATGTAACGAGATAAAAATATTGTACAATAATTTTTTATTTGTGACATAAATATTCTTTCTGACACGTTTTGATGTAAAGGCAAGATTTACATCAATCCGTGACTGGCTATGATTTAGCCTGACGGTCTGGCGATAACAGTACCGGCGATTATTTCAACTAGGGATTGACTGCTCGCTTCGTGTAATTATATATACGCATCATTCTTTCTCTTCCTGAGGCGTCATGAAATATAAGACAAAAAATCAAATCGACAGGTCGATCTCGGACGTCGACAGCAATACATTTCTTCAGGATATGAGATTGTGAATTGTGCGCTCGTGATTAAAATCATCATTCACGGGCCATCTTCTTTCTTTACCTTTTTTTGTGTTGCTGACAAGAATCTAAATAAATGAGCATCTAAGAGACGCGAAAAGTCATTTCAAGCCACGATAGTGCGCTTTCTAGAGCGGCGCTCCACTTTTTTGGGGTATTCCTCGTACTCTTCGTCACAAATTGCAATTAGCATTTTCTCACCGAGCGAGTGACTGCGACAATCATAGACCGTTCTGGTTAGCTGGCTAAGTGGCATTAATAGCAAAACTTGAGAAACGAACGCGGGACTTTCCACAGTCATCTTCAGAGATATTTCTGCCTTATGACAATGAGCAAATTTAAATACTATGCTCCAATGCCTCGATTAGATCTAATTTGTCAGATTCAGATCTTTTATCGATCGTAGAAATTGATTGTATTATTAAAATGATGATTGAATTTCTTGGCCATACGATAAAATTGATAATGAAAGTTCGATAAATACTTGTGATAATTAAATTGCGTACAAAACAAATATGCTGATTTTCTTTTATATATGCAATTGTCTAATCTAAGATAAGATATTTGGATTGTCATTTTCGACCTCTAGATAAAACTGAACAGTGATTTCAAGACAATTACAATTACGTGATTCGTGCATTTCATTATTACTCATGATTCATTGTTGTGTGCTTTGTAATTACAATTTATTGTCTTGAATTTTTACGAATAATTCCGGACCAAACCAAATAATTGTAACATTCTTAGGTTAAGAGTACCTAGATATTTTAATTTTAAATTGAATATGGAAATCAATTTTCATATTACTAACTATAGCAATTTATAACTCTGATACTGTAAAGTTAACTTTATACTTTCTAATAAAGAAAAACATTCCACATCTTTAAGAAAAATCATGTTTACGAAAATCATGTATCCGAAGAATAAATATAAATATTTTATAATTCAAGATTCGCATAAAAATAATAAATTTAGTCATCAGTAATCGGTGGATTGACGTTTGAAATTCCAAATCATTCCATAGACAGCTTAATGAATAATATGAAATCTCATAGTAACTTTATACATCAAGAATTTTCCCTTTAACAATATTGCAAAAAATATTATGCTTTTCTAACGACGTTGTAAGAAAAGCTTGAAGCGTTCTGCGATCGTTTCCTCTTCAAATTTGAAATTTGCAATCACAGATCGCAATGGTCTTTTCAATTGCGAAAAGATACTCAGGAAAAATGAAAACTGTAAAAAGACTTTCTTCTCACCAAGAAAATATTAATCAATAAACGTAGCGTGACGATTGACAAGGAGCAAATATCACAATAGGAAGTCTCTGCACGACGCATATTGATAAAAATCACATACACGTATAATATAAAAAAAACAGTGCTAAATTGTTTTGAAAGATACGTGCATCATCGCATAAAGTTGCGTGCGTTCATTGGCGCAATCACTATATCGATTCCTTTATAAAAGATGCAACAGATTATTCTAAATCAATGAAGCATATTACATGTGCTGCAATTGCCATCGTAAAATTCTAAAATATTTTTAATGTATTTTTGAAATTTCTTTAAGAAACATTTCAAACGATTTTCTAAAAAATAATGCCTATAAGTATAATAAATCTTTTGTCTGATTATCTGCGGTGTAACCTTTTAAAGATAAATAAAAGAAAGTGTTTCTAAATTTTTTCCCAAAGTCATCTGATACACATATGACTTCTTCTTAATGGGTCAATCTTCGCAAATATTAATTTTTGTCCTATTTTCATCTTTTTCTAATTATTATTAGTTCTTTAAAAAACTAAATCTTTATTTTTTTGGGATGTGCTATTTGTTATGATTATTTTAATAAAGATTCGCTCTTCTTATTAGTGAAGATTCATTTTGAGCTGTTTGAATTTTTTAGTTCTCAGACTAACTAATAAAGAATGTATCTTCCATTTATCACACTATCGTATTGTAATCTTGTGTTTACTTGAAGTTTGATCAAGAGGACAATTTCTCCATATACACTTAAAATATTATTACGTTAGAAATATTCATTTACGGAAAATGCATTTTCATTTCACATGAAAAAATGAACATATCTTACTCCATTTTATTCGCATGTAAAATTTTATTAGTAATTCATATTCTCTTGTTATTATAACTTTTAATATATTATTTTAATATATTATTTTATCTTGTTATTGTTACGGATTTATTAAATAATTTTTCTGATTAAAAAGAGAATATTTTACTTTCAAAATTGCATGACAAATGTTAAGAAGTTCATAAAGAAGAATGCTGCCATCGATGATGTACTAATGTTTCAAAATTAATTTAAAAGATTCATTTGTATACGATTAAATCTGTATCAAATTATCTAATAATAAAATGTCTAAGATATAACGTAAGATATATAAAGTAAGATAAAATTTTATTTGAACATTATAGTTATATGTTTCACGCACCTTTCATATAAGTTTTGGAAAGTGAATGCTATGAAATAAATGAATAACTGTATGGAATCTACGCATAAATTCCGTGCAAGGAAAATATCAGCATGACCTTTGAGACGAGATAGAAGCATACACGGTTGTTGCAGCAGCTACGCTACGATATCGCTCTTCCTGAAATACGAAGGCCATGCAGTATAGATAACGAAGGCACCAGAAAGAGAGAATTTATGGTCTCTAAGCAGCGTATCCTGCAAAGATCCTCGTGCTGAAACCCCACGTATCTCTCCGTAGGTTTTCCACGACAGTATTAAATGGACATGCATATAAAGGTCATGCCGTGCGGCAAAAACTGGATGCAGACGTATCCGTTATGTCCTAAAAGGCGGGTAAACCGCGCGCGAGTTCTCTTACGCACATCGTGTACGCGCTTCTGACGCAATTTAGACGCAATTACTCGATCGAACGAGTTGAGCAACCTCGGGAAATTGCTCTTGAAATGTAAAATTTGTCCAATGGGAAGAATGTAATAAACCGATCACCGAATTTATAGACGCACTTCTGTATCTACAAGAATTATAATTATATTTTCCTAAAAATGAGAGTATGATACCTTTATTTTTCGATTATTGTATAGTCACAAACTATTGTACCGTTATAGAGTATAACGAATGCCGTTATAGACTATAGCAATTATACATTAATGTCGTTATTTATTCATTAAAAAAAAAGATAAGATTTCTCATTTACTTTCCTGTTTATATTATCTCAGATTTAGATCTTTTTTTATACTCTGTAACTTTATCTTACAGCAATAAATCTTCTATTTATTATACTGTCGATAATAAATCGAGCAATTCACAAAAGAATTTTTAGATATTATATATTTCAGACAATAACGTTCAATAGATTATGTTATAATTATAAATCGCGCCGCGCATATCTAAT